TTAAATTTCAAATCACCTGTCTTCATTCACTTTTCTCTCTGGAAATCTCTTCCATATCACATCTAAATTTAACCCACACCAAAGTTCTAGCTGTTCTGCTCTGCCACATTTTTATATCTTAGTACCAGTCTTTAAAAAAAAAAAATAAACCTCTTTATTCCTCTCCCCCCGATTCTTTACATCTCTGGTCAATATAATTTCCTTTAAGTCTATAATGGAGCTACCCTGTTTTCCTGAAAATAAGACAGTGTCTTATATTAATTTTTGCTCCAAAAGATGCGCTAGGTCTTATTTTCAGGGGATGTCTTATTTTTCCATGAAGAATATGGTACACATTTATTGTTAAATGAAAATAAACAAAATTTATTACTTGTATACGGTACGGTAGTATGGTAGTTGTCAACACAAACCAGACAAACTGAATCCTACAGTATCAAGAATTTACTCATTTATTCAATGACAATCATGTCATCATCTTCTGGAACATCTTCATAACAATCCAATTCCTGAATTTCCTGGTGAATTTCTTGTGATTCCATTTCTTTCAGAATCAGTGAACCAAATCTCTCATGTTTAGCCTAGGGGGGCCTTATTTTCGGGGGGATGCCTTATATTTCACTCAGAAGGAAACCTGTAAGTAGGTCTTATTTTCAGAGGATGTCTTATTTTCGGGGAAACACGGTACTTGCTTCCTCCTGTACTAGTATTCTCAGGGTACTGTGTGTAAACTTTATTATAGGACCCATCTCGCTAAATTTAACTAGTCTTCCCTGGTGCCTAGCACAGTGCTGGGCACAGAGTAGGCATCAAATAAATGTTTTTAAATGAATATTAATCCTCCAAATGTCCTAAGACTCTCCACTATTGGGCTTCTCAGTCTTGAATGTCTTTCATCTCCAATCAAAATTCACTGTCCCTGCTTCATTCTTGGAGCTTTGTACTCTATTGCTTATGTTGCTAAGACTAATTAAGTCTTGTCAGAGGAAAGCAGGATAGTAGACTATAAAGAACACTATTCTTTCTGGTATCTTGGGATATCAGAAACTCAAAGTCTAACACTGTGTTGTGTGGACTGTTGGAGGCCCAGTTTGCTCACTTCTTTCACTAAGTGGAAGGTGTATATGACTTCTAAGATCTTCCAGGGCTGAAATGAAAGTCCTTTGTAGACTGGGATCTGGTCTGTCTTATTCTCCGCTCTCCCAACACCAAGAATGGCGCCTGATGCAGAGGATGCTCTTAAATAGTCATTGAGAGAAGAAACTACTTCAGTAGCTCTATATTGCTTGGTGCAATATATATTGCTTCAGTAGCAATATATATATATATATATATAGCTTTCAGGGAGAAAGGGAGATAGAAACATCAACAATGAGAGAGAATCTTCCTGCATACCTCCCACTGAGTATCGAGTCCACAACCCGGGCATAGGTCCTGATCGGGAATTGAACTATGACTTCGTGGTTCATAGGTCAATGCTTAACCAATGAGCCATTCCAGCTAGGCTGCTTGGTGTTTTATATATTATTTTATGTAATTTCCAAGGTGGTAGATTCAGGATTTATATGTAGATTTGGAAGACTTTAAGATCATGTCCTTCCCAAAATACCTTTAGGAGACAAGGCCATCACACAAGGATTTGTTCCATTATAGCTTTTAAAAAATATATATTTTGCCGAAACCGGTTTGGCTCAGTGGCTAGAGCATCGGTCTGCGGACTGGAAGGTCCTGAGTTCGATTCCGGTCAAGGGCATGTACATTGGTTGTGGGCACATTCCCAGTAGGGGGTATGCAAGAGGCAGCTGATCAATGATTCTCTCTCATCGATATTTCTAACTCTCTATCCCTCTCTCTTCCTCTCTGTGAAAAATCAATAAGATATATTTAAAATAAATAAAATAAATAAATAAATATATTTTTATTTATTTCAGAGAGGAAGGGAGATAGAAACATCAAAGATGAGAATCATTGATTGGCTGCCTCTTGCACACTCCTGCTGGGGATTGAGTCTTCAACCCAGGCATGTACCCTGATCAGGAATTGAACCATGACCTCCTGGTTCATAGGTTGATGCTCAATCACTGAGCCATGCTTGCCGAGCTCATTAATGGTTTTAATGGTGGCTGTGAAAGGATGGAGGGGATTCTGAGGTCCTTATTCTTCATATTATAGCATACTAGTGGCCCAGTGCATGAAATTCCTGCACATTAAAAGGGAATTAAATTAGAGGAAATATTTTATTTTTTAAAAAATATATATTTATTGATTTTTTACAGAGAGGAAAGGAGAGGGATAGAAAGTTAGAAACATCGATGAGAGAGGAACATTGATCAGATGCCTCCTGCACACCCTTCACTAGGGATGTGCCCACAACCAAGGTATATGCCTTTGATGGGAATCAAACCCGGGATCTTTGAGTCCACAGGCCGATGCTCAATTCATTGAGCCAAACCGGTTTCGGCTAGAGGAAATATTTTAATATTGCTATCTGCCCTTTCTCTATAATAGAAGTATCAGAGATGAAAGAAAATTAGTAAAATGTATATGAAAATCTCCCTCCTGTCAGAGTTTGGGGTGTGCTGTGGGACCTAGAGTCAAGTCCTGCCCACCACCCACCCCTGTCAAGTCCCTTCAGGCGGAAGGCACAGCCCCGGGTCCTCCAGCCCAGTGCCAGGTGTGGGGCAGTTTCAGGTCCCCAGTCAAGCCCCGTGGCTGGGGGACACAGCCTCAGGTCTCCCAGCCTGGGGCAGTGGGCACGGCCTGAGGTTTCTGTCAAGCCCCACCAGGCAGGGGGCACAGACTGAGGTCCCCTATCAAGCCCTGCCAGGTGAGGGGCATGGCCTGAAGTCCCCCAGCCTGGCGCTGGGGTGGGGGGGCGCAGCATGAGGGCCAGGGCAAGCCCCACTGGGGCAGGGGCACAGCCTGAGGTCCCTCACCCAGGCCAGGCACCATGCAGCCTCAGGTCCCTGCTGTTCGGTCTTGACATTACAGTGTCCTGGCTAATTTGCATATTCCTCTATTATATGGACAGGCAACTGCCTCTTCCCACACAAACCTTGGGGGATAACAGGAATGTAAAGTGGTGAGGAAATCTGATCACTGTCATCCAAATGGGGTGCCTGGGCAAATGATGGGGGTTAGGTACACAGCTCTAGCCATGAGCTGATAAGCTAGCTCTCTCTAAAAATAAGTGTTAATAGCTTTTGTTGATTTCTGTGGTATATATTCCCAATATGGCTGACTTTAAGCAACCACCATGCAGTCACTGACTGCAGACTTGGCAGACCTGGGCATAGTCAGCTCTCACAAGCAGTGAGCTGCCATGGCACACCAAATGAACGGCAAGATTGCGGGACGATTGCAGCTGCTGCAGATCCCAAGGGAAGTCTCAGCTCTTAACCTGCCTTTTTTGAAGACCAGGGTTGGTCTCTGCCCCTCTGATTTACTATCTCGTTTCCCCGAAAATAAGACATCCTCCAAAAATAAGACCTACTTACAGGTTTCCTTCTGAGTGAAATATAAGGCATCCCCCCGAAAATAAGGCCTCCCCGAAAATAAGGCTAAACATGAGAGATTTGGTCCACTGATTCTGAAAGAAATGGAGTCACAAGAAATTCACCAGGAAATTCAGAAATTGGATTATTATGATGATGTTCCAGAAGATGATGACATGATTGTCATTGAATAAATGAGTAAATTCTCAATACTGTAGGATTCAGTTTGTCTGGTTTGTGTTGACAACTACCGTACTACCGTACTGTATACAGGTAATAAATTTCGTTTCTTTTCTTTTAAAAAAAATATATATTTTATTGATTTTACACAGAGAGGAATTGAGAGGGAGAAGAGTTAGAAACGTTGATGAGAGAGAAACATCGACCAGCTGCCTCCTGCACACCCCCCACTGGGGATGTGCCCGCAACCAAGGTACATGCCCTTGACAGGAATGGAACCTGGGACCCTTCAGTCCCCAGGCCGACGCTCTATCCACTGAGCCAAACCAGTTTTGGCAATTTTGTTTATTTTCATTTAACAATAAATGTGTACAATATTCTTCTTCATGGAAAAATAAGACATCCCCTGAAAATAAGACCTAGCGCATCTTTGGGAGCAAAAATTAATGTAAGACACTGTCTTATTTTCGGGGAAACAGGGTAGTACAGCCACGATCCCTTCACCTCAATGGCCATCTCAGCTGCTGGCTGGAGGGCTCCCCCCAGTGGCCCTCGGCTCCTCTTTGGAATACACCATTGCCTAGCCCCAAAGTGTTCTTGCAATTAGTTCTTCACTAAGTAATTCAGGTGGTGTTATCCTGAGAGGAAGGATGGGGGTGTGCTAGTTCCATCAGCTCTCCCTCTACCCCTCACTTGAATTCAGGCAGTACTTTCTCCCAAATTCCAGAAAATCCTCAACACTGAGGAAAGTGTGCTCACGGATCAGGAACGGGTGGAAGCCGCAGGCATCTCTGAAGAGTGTGGGATGAAGGGGTGGGGAAGCAGTGTGAGAGTGAGAAAGCCTGCTTCTGGTTGGGGAGGGGCCCCGGTCCCTACTGGGGCAGGAGAAACAGGCCTTCTGGCCAAGAGCAAGTGACCCCGAGATGGGCAGGTCTCCAGGGGAGAGCAAGAACTGCTTGGAGGAAGGGGCCTTGTCCCAGGGACTGACTCCATCCTGGGTACCTTTGAGTCTTCCTCTCAAGTAGTTAACAACGCCCAGGACAGAATCAGCACACAAATGTGTCGGAGAAACGAGGACTTTATTAGTACCAAGAACATTTTTCAAAACTTAAGCAAAAAGTAAAACGCAGGGACAAGGGAAACCAAGGCACAAAGAAGGACCGATGGGGCCCAGGGCACACGCAGAGGCCCTCTCTTCGTGTCAGGCGCGTGTGGTGGTGGGAAAGGCTGCCTTGCTCCTCAGATGGGCTCAGCCGCCCAGTCCAAGTGAAAAGACAAGCAGAGTGGTGACCTCAGGTCAGCAGGATTAGAACTTGCTTGTGTAGAGGGTCATAATCCACTTGGCATTCGCAGGAAGCCAGGCAAGTAGGGGGCCAGCCAGCCCAGGCTGGAGGAATAGGAGAGAACCGAACTCAAAGACAAATAGTCCTGGATGGGGCGGCCTGAGGACAACAGGAAGAGAAGGAGGATTAGACTCTCATTTCCCACTCCCTGGCTGAAGAGACTGACTGAATGGGATGTGAGGGAGGAAGGAACAGGGAGAGAGGGAGGGAGGAGTGAGCAGGAAACAGAAGAAAGGTCCAGGCTGGATGCTGGGCTAGAGCTTTTACCATCCACATCCTGAAGGCCGTAGCGTCGAGCAAGGTCATAAGATGGCAGCACCTTCCCGCTCAGGCTCAGGATATTGGGGTCTGTGGGCACACATATAGCTGATATGGCATGGCAGTGGTGCAGGGTGACAAGCTTTGGGCCCAATGGGACAGGGCACCACCGAGACAGGCTTAGGAGACCAGAATTGTTTCTCTCTGTCCCTAGGAAGGTTCCCAAGCCTCTGGCTTCTGGCCATACCTCCTAGGAGCTAGTTCTTGGAGCACCCAATCCTCAAAAAATGGGAATCCTGATCCTCTGGGCCTCCAGAAGCCAGAGAAAAGAATGGCTCATTCCCCAACCACCTCCTGAGCCAGGCCCCAGAACTGGCTGCCACCACCCTGCAGATCCTCTAGGCCCTTCTTGTTACCAGCTGCCCAACCTCTTCACCTGTTGCCAAAGCCACCACGCATTTGCCACTCATTTCCGTGGTCTCCGCGGTTGAGAAATAAGTTTTGAGCTGAAACATAGGAGCAGAGAAGTGAAGGGTTAACTTCCCAGAGCACTGCCCAAGTCCCTTCTCTGCTTTCAGCTCCTGTTCCAGAACAGAGGCCCTCATCATGCACCTGTAGGACTCAGCATCTTGGAAAGTGCTGGAGCCATTCCTCCCCCATCCCTGTGAGCCTTGTACCCCGGCACCAGGACCCACTTCTTTCCTAAGTGGAAGGATCTGGGGAAGCCAACTATGTTGACCTTCTAGGTTAGTACAGTGTGGGGGTCAAGACCATGCTATGGAGATGGGCAGTCTTTCCACTTAAGCCATCTGTGGCCTTAAGCAAATTTCTTACTTCTCTGGGTTTCAGTTTCACAATCTATAAAAAGGAGATACTATCTCCATTACAGGATCAGAGGACATAATGTGTGTACGGTGCTCAGCCCCATAATTTACTGCCATGGTAAAACCCGGGTATTTGCTCCTTGCTGTTGCTACTGTCTTGACATTAAGGATGGAGAGCTGATTCCTCTGCATTCTCTGCCACCCTTGGCTTCCCCTTGCCAACCTGCTTAACCCCGGGGTTGTTGGCAATTTCACTCTTCTCCAGATGATCCTTAAGCAGTTCTGTCTGCACCATCCCTGGCCAGAGAGACACATAGCTGACCCCGTGGCGCCGCAGCTCCAGGGCACAGTCTGCAGCCATCCTGTCACAATGCAGAGATAGAAGACAGGGTGAGAGCCAGGGCACTGGCCATCTCACCTTCCTCCCCTGCCCTCCCCGCTTCAGCTGAGGATGTCCTGTTCCATGCCCTTTCTAGGTGCTCTGTCCCAGCTGGCCATCTCTCCCAGTGCACTACTCACTCTGGCCAGCAGAGGAGCCCAGGTGAAGGAACTGTCCATGGAAGGCCAGGAGGAAAGGTGAAGTTGGCCTCCCACTCTGATCACTGGGGATTTACCTCCCAAACTAACTGGGTACCGTCACGGTCCTATACAGTCCCAACCCCTGTGCCACTGGGTTCTTACCGTAGCTTTGCCCATGCCGTAAGGAACACTGAAGAAATACTTCATCCCTCCAATAGAGGAGATGACCACAATGAGCCCCCGGCCAGCTGGTACCATCAACCGAGTCCCATACACCGAGCACAAGTAGTGGCCTCTAGAGGTGGGACAGGAAAGGAATGGACTGTGCTCAGAGCTGGCCAGGGCTCTGTAACCTTGGCAGCTCCCTCTGCCCTCTAGTGGCTGTGGTCAGCCAGGAGAAGGCAGCATGAGGGTGGCCACAGACCTGGAGAACTAAGGGCTTGAGGCTACCTTCTGAGAGGAATACTGGTAAAATTAACCACTGAAGGAGGGGAAATGGTACCCGTTAGGAGATGTAATGGAAGAGCTCTGTCATAATAGCAATTACAAACCTAAAGTAGGTCAGGGGGAATATAGCTATATATAAGATCTACATGGAAAAACTATAAAATGCTGTCTAATGTAAAAGAACAGGTACAGGCATAATTTATTTGGAATAGTCAACATGTAAAACATCAGTTCTACTTAATATAATCCACAGATTCAGTCAATTTGAGTTATCAATGTATATATAAAAGCCTAAGTGACACGACCAAATGACCGGTTGCTATGATGTGTACTGACCACTAGGGGGAAGACACTTAACACAGGAACTGTTCCCTGTAGTCAGTGTGCTCCCACAGCCAACCTCCCGCTTTCCCTCCCTGGGCCAGCCAGCCAACCTCCCATGGTACCTCTCCTTCAGCTAGCCAACCTCCCATTGTCCCTCCCTGGACCAGCCAGCCAACCTCCTGTGATCCCTCCCCCGGCCAGCCAACTTCCCATGGTCCCTCCCCCTGGCTGATTGCTGGCCAGGCCGAGGGGCCACACTTGTGCACAAATTTGTGCACTGGGCCTCTAGTATCTCTATAAGACTTTTGTAGGAACTGACAAAATAATCTAAAGCTCCCTTATAATAAACATGGAATAACCAGGTAAATTCTGAAAAAGGAAGAGTAATATCTGTGGGTGGGGGTGCTACCCCATCTTACCATCCCTTATTAAAATGTCATACTAAAAACATATTTAATGGAGAAGAAAGATGGCTGCTAATGGGAAGGCAGACTGCAAGATAGTGTGTGAGTGAGAGAATGAAAGGAGAGTGTGTGGACATATGAGGAGTGTATATTTGGGGGTGAGGGACACTATACTCCAAGGGACTGTTGGGGACTACCAACCAGGCAGCCTCCACTGCTGCTGAAATCTCTCCCAGAGCAACTGGTTCTGCTGCAGATACCACACTATCTTTAAGGGGAGAGTGGCTGTTATCAACACCCAAGGACCAGTTGCGAACCCAGGAACACTGGCTCTCAAGCAGTGTGAATATGTGGACTTGGATGAGCTCTGCACCTTCTCATGGAAAGGAGAGAGAGAACTACATAACCAGACACCTGGAGAAGAGAGATCATGGGGAGATAAACAGCCTAAATATGAAAGAAAAGGAGGCATCACCAGAAAAGGAAGTAAACAAAATAGAGGCAAGCAATTTTTCAGAGAAAGAATTCAGAGAAATGGTCATAAGGTCACTGAAAAGAATGTAAGGCAAATTCAACAACATGTGTAAAAACAAAGAGGAAATGAAGAACCAAGAAGAAATGAAAAATGACATCATTGCTATAAAGAACTCAATAGAAAGCATCAACGATAGAACAGAAAAAGCAGAGGACCACATCAGTGAGCTAGAAGACAAGGTAGGAAAAAATACACAAGCAGAGCAGCATCTAGAATAAAAGCTTAAAAAACATGAGGAGAGCCTAACAGAACTTTGGGACAACACTAAACAAAACAATATCCTCACAGCAGAGAGCCAGAAGGAGAAGAAACTGAGAAGGAATAGAAAACCTGTTTGAAAAAATAATGACAGAAAACTTCCCTGATATAGGGAAGAAAAAACTCACACAAGTCCAAAAAGCTCACAGAGTCCCAAACAAAATGAACCCCAAAAGACCAACGCCAAGGCACATTATAATTAAACTGGCAAACGCCAACGATAAAGAATTTTAAAAGTGGCCAGAGAGAGACAGAATGTTATTTACAAAGGATCCACCATCAGACTAGCAACTGATTTCTCAACAGAAACACATCAGGCAAGAAGGGAATGGAATGAAATACACAAAGTCATGCAAAGGAAGGGTCTGAATCCAAGAATACTGTATGCAGCAAGGTTATCAATCAAAATTGAGGGTAAAATCAGGAGCTTCACCGACAAAAAAAGGTCTCAGAGAGTTTATTACTACCAAACCAGCAATGCAAGAAATACTAAATGGTCTGCTGTAAAAAAAAAAGAAAGAAAGAAAGAAAGAAAGAAAGAAAGAAATAGGAAGTGAAGAAGGAACACAGGCATAAAGAATAAAAATGGCGATAAATAAGTACCTATCAATAACTTTAAGTGTAAATGGAATAAAGGTCTCAATCAAAAGACATAGGGTAGCTGAGTGGGTAAGAAAACATGATCCATATATCTGCTGTCTACAGAAAACCCACCTCAGAAAAAAAGGACTCACTGATGGTGAAGGGATGGAAAAAGGTTTTTCAGGCAAATGAAAATGAAAAAAAAAGAAAGAAAAAAAAAAAAAAAAAAAAAAGCTGGGGTAGCAATACTTACATCTGACTAATTAGATCTTAAAGTGAAGGACATAACAAGAGATAAGGAAGGCCACTTCATAATACTAAAGGGAGTAATCCAACAATAAAAAATAACTCTGGTAAACATATACGTACCCAAAATAGGAGCACCCATATACATAAAAAAAACTTCTAGAGGCTATCAAGGGAAAGATTGACAGCAATACAGTCATAGTAGGAGAGACTTTAATATCCCACTATCACCATTGGACAAATCCTCTAAACAAAAAATCCCAAGAAAACAAAAATACCAATCAGAGAGAATATATGCACCCCTATGTTCACAGCAGCACAATTTACAATAGCTAAGATTTGGAAACAGCCTAAATGCCCATCAGCAGATGAATGGATTAGAAAACTATGGTACATCTACACAATGCAATACTATGCTGCTATAAAAAAGCATGGATGGAACTGGAGAGCATTATGCTAAGGGAAATAAGCCAGGCAGTGAAAGAAAAATACCACATGATCTCACTCATTTATGGACAATAAAGAACATTATAACCTGATGAAAAAGATACAGAAGCAGAGAAGCATCAAACAAACTGTCAAATTACAGCAGGAAGGCTGGGGAGTGTTGGGGGATGGGGGTAAGAGATCAACTGAAGGACTTGTATGCATGCATATAAGCATAACCAATGGACACAAGACACTGGGGGGTGGGGTGAAGGCATGTGCCAGGGGGTAGGGGAGGCCAGGGGAAGGTCAATGGGGAATAAAAGGAGGCATATGTGCTACTATCTGTAATACTTTAAACAATAAAATAAATAAAAATTTAATGAAAAGTCATACTAGTTAAAAGAATGTAGTACTAGTATAACAATGTTCAGATAATCAGTTAAACAAAATAGTTAATAACTAGATCATGTGTAAATGAGAATTCAGTGAATTATTAAGGGAACATTTCTTTTTTTTTTTTTTTTGGAAAAATGAATTTTTTATTTGAGACAATTTTGCTATAAAAGCATATTTCAGTCCTTTAAAATAACAGTCAACAAGATTTACTGTATCAAATGTAAGTTTCACACCTCAGTCGGTGGCAGATTTCAAACAATCTCCAGAAGCTGAGCTGAAATTGGCTTTTAAAATCTTTAAGTTAGTTTGTTCCCAGATAAACACCATTTTTTTAACTTGAAAAATCACACTTATCATGCAACCCACAGATTCTTTGGTTTGCATTTATCCATTTTGTTACCCTTTTCTTATTTTCAGAAACAGAAGCCAAGTCAAGGCTACATTAATCCGAAAACTAGAAGTAGGCAATATTGCGAATATTAATGCAAGATGACAGCTCTCATTTTTTTGAACCAATTTGTACCAAATGTATTTAGAAAGTCAGAAACTTAAAGACAACCAATTTTCAACTCATTGACCTATAAATTTGCCTTTGATTGCAGTGCACTTCTGCTGGAGCAGGGTAAGGGAACATTTCAAGTCTACAAGGAAAGAGGTGTCATTCAGGAAATGAATTTGGGACAACTAGCCACTTATTTGGTGGGTGGGACTAGCTGCCTTCTTCATTTATGCTTTCAAAATGCATTCTAAAAGGCTAAATTATTGGACTATACAAAATGAAGGCACAAAAGCACTAACAGAAAGCATGGCAATGTGCTCATGAACTTGGGGTGGGAAAGGCTTGTCTTAGCATCACAGCAAGATAGAAAATATAAAAGATTGACTTCTTAAAATTAAGACATATCCTATATAATTAAGGGCTAATATGCAAATAGACCAAACGGCAGAACAACTGGTCACTATGATGTGCCCTCACCACCAGTGGCCGTGTGCGAAACATGGTGGGCATTGGCTGAGGTGGATTGGTGGAGCAGGTGAGCAGGGGTGCTAGACCAAGGTGGGCACCGGTTTCTGTCATGGGGCAAGCCTCTGGTGGTTACTGAAAATTCTTTGCTCCCGCATGCTGCACTTCTGCCCGGCGCTCGCCATTGCTTGCACCCACTACCAGTGCCCGGTGCCAGTCCCGATCACTCGGCACCATCAATGGGTGCAAGTTCTGTGAGAGGAAATACCAACTGTTTTGTCCGCCATTTTATTTCCAGCTCCTGTTTTAGTATCAGTCTTTAAATCTACCCAAACCTGCCTTTTGTGTAAATCCTCTGTTCTCTCACCCTTACCCCCGCGTGTTCGGGAGGTGGGAGGAGATGATGGTGGGCTTTCAAGAGGCTCACAAAGTGATCTTTATCTTGGAGAATTCATCAGGGCTGGCTTTTGCCTTATAGGCTGAAAACCCTGATCAACAAGAGATGAGTGTAAAAGGCCTGTTTGGAGGACCAAGGATGTGGGCGTTGCCTTTTACCAGCTGTCTGGATTTTCTTTTCTTGCCTCTTGGCTAACCATCCCTCTCTGTCCTCATAATCTTTTTTTTTTAATATATATTTTATTGATTTTGTACAGAGAGGAAGGGAGAGAGATAGAGAGTTAGAAATATCGACGAGTCATCGATCAGCTGCCTCTTGCACACCCCCTACTGGAGATATGCCCACAACCAAGGTATATGCCCTTGACTGAAATCGAACCCGGGACCTTTCAGTCCCCAAGCCGATGCTCTATCCATTGAGCCAAACCGGTTTCGGCACTTTCTTTTGATCTAAAACAAAACAATTTCTGCCCTAGCTGGTTTGGCTCATGGTAACAGCATCAGCCTGATGACTGAAGTGTCTCATGGTTGATTCTGGTCAAGGGCATGTGCTTTGGTTGCAGGTTTGATCCCCAGCTACAGGCAGTGCGTGTGTGGGAGGCAACCAATTGAAGTGTCTCTCTCACATCGAAATTCCTCTCTGTCTCCTCCTCCCTTCCACTCTTTCTAAAAATCAATGGGGAAAAAAAAATCCTCAGGTGAGGATTGATAAAACAAAACAATTTCTTCCTCTAATTTTTTTTGGTGTGCATTATTGAGGGATGCAAGTTCCCTTCTGGGTCATGCATTTGGATGGGCAGAGAGTGAGGCAGGAGGGAAGCAAAGGACATGGTCAGATGAAAATTGCTGACAAAAATAAGACAAAAGTTGACATTCCCAAGTATAGATTTACTTGAATGGAACTTCTCCAGAGATGAGTGGAGTAAATGGGACAAAAGAAAGAAGAAAGAGATGGGAGGTCAGAGGGAAAAGGGCATATGTGGAAAGATCTGGGCTGTCAGCCTGGCTAAGTGGGTGAGGGGAACCCAGGTCCTTACAGTGGGATAAGGGGATCACCTACCTGAGTCCAACATTGTTGATATCATCCCAAATGGAGGCAAGGCTTTCCCAGAATGCCTTCTTAAGGTTGTCTAGGATTGTCTAGAAAGCACAGGGAGAGTGATGAATTAGATTGCCCGAAGGCAGGAAGGTCTGAGGGGCTGGATAATGAAAGGACAATTAGTGGGGATAAAACTCAGGGGTCACAGTAGGAGGTCAGAGTGTGGAGTTGAGATCAAAATTTCAAGAGTACCTGAACCCCAGCATAGGCATTGTTGACCAGCACATCCAAACGTCCGTTCTGTTCTCGATCAACCTGCTCAAATAGGTTTCGCACTTCAGCCTCCTGGCTTGAATCACACACCACAGGCACACACTGGCCCCCTCGGGATTGTGCCTGGAGAGAGACAGAGAGGATAGGAGCTCACAGTCACACAGGAGGGTAGACATAATGCAGCTTCCCTCCACTCCCAGCTTGGGAGCTAGGCCATTATAGGAATCAAAGCCAGCAGCTGAGGGAACATGGTGGGCAATATCGCCCTCGTATGTCTATGTGAGGAATTTCAAGAGTGCTAGGTCTCTTTTCAGAGCAAGGTGGATTGGAACCTCAGCTTTAAAAATACTAATGAACAAACATTTCCTGAGGCCTACCATGTGCAAGGCATTGTACTTTGCAAGTGGAGGGTATGGGACAAATAAGATATGGAAGCTGCTTTTAAAAATGAGTATCCAGCCAAAACCAGTTTGGCTCAGTGGATGGAGCATTGGCTTACAGACTGAAGGGTCCCAGGTTCTGTTCCGGTCAAGGGCATGTACCTTGGTTGCAGGCACATCCCCAGTGGGGGGTGTGCGGGAGGCAACTGATTGATGTTTCTCTCATCAATGTTTCTAACTCTCTATACCTCTCTGTAAAAAAATCAATAAAATATATTTTAGAAAAAGAAAAAGAAATGAGTATCTATCTTTTTCCTTGCCCTTGGCTAACTTCCATCTCACATGCCCTTAGCTCCCACCCTTCACCACTCATGTGGAACCCGTACTCAGTCCCAGTCCTCTTACCCGCACGCCACCTGTGCTCCTTCCTGGTAACAAGGAAATAAAAGTTCTCAGGCATGACCTATTTCTACTTCCCGTTCCATCTCAGCTTCTACAAATGTGCCCCATCCTCTAACTTGAGAGGAAGAAGGGTACAGGCCTCCTATTCTCCAAGTCCAACCCTCTTACTTCCTTGCCTCCTAAGTGCTCACTTGGCTTCCAGTCTTTCTGCCTTAAGTTAATTCTTCATACCCCAGCCAGAAAATATGAACTATTTAAAACAAAAATCTGTTTTAATTTAAAAAAAAATATTTTATTGATTTTGTACAGAGAGGAAGGGAGAGAGACAGACAGTTAGAAACATCGATAAGAGAGAGTCATCGATCAGCTGCCTCTTGCACACCCCCCACTGGGGATATGCCTGCAACCAAGGTACATGCCCTTGACTGGAATCGAACCTGGGTCCCTTCAGTCCCCAAGCCAACGCTCTATCCATTGAGCCAAACCGGTTTTGGCAAAACACAAATCTGTTTTAAATCCTCCAATGGGATCATCATCTCTTAGGAGAATAAAGCCGAAGCTATCTACCAGGATCTTCCAAGGCCCATTCTGTTTCCTTCCCAGCCTCTCATCTCCGCTCCTGCTTTGTACCTGTGTGTTTTGGAATTCTTTCTCACAGGATCCACACTCTTTCACCATTGCTTGTAAAGTTCCCTTTGCCAGTATGTCTTAGCTTCTTTGACCTAACTCTTACCTTTCAAGACTCAGTTTAAGAACCATTTCCCAGAATGCTTTCCCTAAATACTCACATGTCATCTCAAAACCCACCCCTCAATCCCAGAGCATTCTGTGCACACACATTCACCTCTTATCACTTACCATATCCACATTACATTGACAAGAACTGTTTCTACCTCTGCTAGAATAGATCTAGCTTTTAATAGCATAAGTTATATCTTATTAATCTTGATAACCCCACTACTTCACCCTGTGCCTAGCAAATCAAGTGTACCCAAGTATTTAATTGAAAACAAGTAGAAAAGTCAAGTAAAAATGTACAGTTCAATAATGTCTTGCCTAAAAAAAAGGAAAGCACAGGCCCACAAATCTTTAGTTACAATTCCAAAGTCCCTAAAGCTTTCAAACGGAACTTCTTCCCCTCCCCCCCCCCCGCAAAAAAAACAAAACAAAACAAAAAAAACTCACTTGGTGGTAACTGTGACCTGATTTGGAGTTATTTGTGGGGTTCATTTATCCCACTTGGAGAAAATATTCACGTTTTATTGAGGAATATTATGGGTTCTGGTAAGGGACTGAGAGGAGTGGTTAAGAGGAAGGGATTCTGCAGGAGGACGCACTCACCTCCTTAGCAGCAGCCCGCAGTGTGTCCAGATGTCGGCCAGTGATGTAGACGGTGGCACCTGCTTGGCAGAGCTGCAAGGCGATGCCGCGACCAATACCCCTGGAAGCACCAGTCACCACACACACTTGGCCCTTCATGGGGGCTGCCATGAATAACTCACCAGCAAATGAATAAAAACTGTGGGAGCAAAGATTTGCTCTGAGGGAAGCCTGCAGATTGTTGAAGGGGGACCCCCGAATAGCAGGAGGAGCCATGGGGAGGATGCTTCAGTGGGAGACACCTGGGTGCAGGCCCAGGGCCAGGCGGGCTGTCCGTTTCGGGACGCCCAGAGTGAAGAAAGGGGCTGTTCAGGGCAGGACACCTAGTGGGTGGGACTCTGAGTGAAGCTGGCTGGGCCCTCAGGCCCTCGTGGGGCGTCCACGCCGAGCCCGGGGCCATCTGGAGTTCTGGCCGACTTGTGGCCCCGGCCTGGCCCAGTCCCAAGCCCCAAGCCGGGTGGCGCGGCTTCTGAGGTGGGAGTGAGCCAAGGACGGGGACCCTGAACCCTACCTGGTAGGAGCTGGCGTCTCTTACCTGCCGCCCGTGCCGCTTCCGGAGACCGGCCTCACCTGGCTCCCCAGGGTCTCCAAAGGCGGGCAGGGACTGCGGCCGCGGGGCGAGAGCAGCTGACTGCGGGGGAGTCCAGCACGGGACCAATTGGCGCTGGAAGCGGGGCCTGCGGAGGCGGGGCCATCGGGGCGGGGCCATCGGGGCGGGGCCATCGGGGGCGGGCCGCTGGGGGCGGGGTAATCGGGAGCGGGGCCACCGGGGGCGGGGTCATCGGGGCGGGCCGGGCCGTCGCGGGCCTGTGACGTTGTGGCGCCCGGAGCGCCGCGTTCGTGGGAGCCGGCCCACCAGGCCCAGATTGCTCACGCCGCCGCCGAGGCAGCTTTCGCCGGCTGACCGGAATCGGAGCACCCATGGGGTTGGGGCCGCGCTCCCCCCACAAGGCCGGGCGCCGGTTTCCAGCTGGTGGAAAACGGGGGCGCGGGGCCCAGGGGTCGGGGCGCCCCTCAGGTCCCCCGCGACAGCCCTGCCGGCCCCCGGACGGGCGCTCGCCGCCGGCTCTCGACGCGCACCCTCACCTGAGCCCCGAAGCGCTGGGGTACTTCCGCCGGGCGCTGTCGGCGCTGAAAGAGGCCCCGGAGGCCGGAGAAGAACGAGGTGGGGAGGCTCTTCCGGGTGGGACCGAGGGAGGGGTTTGCTGGGCATAAAATTCAGTGCGGGCGAGGGCTTTGGGTTCCCGGGGCTCGTGTCATCTCTCGTGTCCTCTTCCTTACTTCAACCCCGTGGTTAAGTGATGGAACATAACCTTCTCCTCCTCTCAGTTTCTTTAAAACATTTTTTTCTTGTCTTTCCAGAGCTGATGGTGCACAATGTTTTGAAGGAAGTGGAGTCTCAGGCCCTCGCCTTGGCCACAAACAGGACTGGCAGTGAGATGCTGCAGGAACTGTTGGGGTTCAGCCCCCTGAAACCTCTGTGTCGAGTATTGGCTGCTCTGCGCTCCAACTTGCGCAGCGTGGCCTGCCATCGATGTGGGGTCCATGTATTGGAAAGTGCTTTGCTGCAGCTGCCTCGATTGTTGGGGAGCTGTGAGGAGGAGGAGGAGGCTGAGGAGGAAGAGGAGAAAGAGCCTCCCTTGGACACCCTGGAGGAGCTGGTGCTGGGACTAGCCTCTGAGGTGTGTGATGATTTTCTCTTCTACTGTGGAGACACACATGGCAGCTTCGTGGTCAGAACTCTGCTGCAGGTGTTAGGAGGGACTCTTCTGGAGTCTGAGAGAGCCAGACACCGGGGCTCCCGGTCACCTGGTAAGTATTACAAGACAGGGAAGTGAGCCGAGAGGAAAGGAGAGTGTAGGAAGTTCAGAGGAGATAGTGGCAGAAGAGTAATTAATTCTTCACAACCTTGAAGAACTAACAGAGAAATTAGTTCAGGGCTCAGCAGGCCCAAGATTAGTGTGCTGCAGAGGCCCAGAGGTAGGGTGTGTTTAGGGAAAGCTAAACATGACACAGTGTACATTTGTATTTAGGCACATATTGGATGTAAGCAGAAGATCAGGAAATAATACCCTCACTACATGCAACCCACTCTAATATTTCCTTTCCTTTTTTATTCTGTTCTATTCCATTAAAAAGGTTCTGGTTGAAACCCATGAAATTGATTTCGTGATTCATTCATAGGCAGTGAGCTGAATTTTTATTTTAAAAAATGGGAAATAAGGTTAGAGAATTTAGATAAGGCCTGATTTTGTGACATCTTGAATTTCTGGCAGAGGAGTTTGGATTACCTCCCATGATCCATAGGAAAGCTGGTTGAAGTTTCTCAGACAAATTGAAACAGAAATGTGGTCTCAATCCAGTCATCTAGATGAGAAGAGAAATTCAGTTGTGTTCTGCATTTTTAAGCTAAATCATTGTTCATCTGTACCAGCGATTTTCAACTGGTGTGCTGTGACACACTGCAAGAATACTTAAAACATGTGATAAACTCTTATTTAGTCAGGGGCACTGACTTCATTTCCCTTAGATTGTCAAATAAAAAAGAAAAAGGCAACACCTAACACAACAATAGCTGTCCAGTGTGAATGAATCAAAACTATACATATATTTTTGTCAGGATGGCAAAGATATATTTTTTTGTGTGATGCAGAATTTTAGTAATTCATTTATGTGTGCCATGAGATGGGAAAGGTTGAAAATTCCTGACCTTGGAATTCTCCCTCTGGTATGGTGGCTTGTGATCTTGCCACTTGATCTTCCTTCAGAAGCACAAAGGACTCCAACTCGGGAATGTAAACCAGCTGATTTCGAGGTTCCTGAATCCTTCTTGAATTGTCTTCGGGACCTGAGTTCCTGCTTTCTGAAGGACATTGCTGGTAAGGTGGGAAGTAGGAGGAGGGGCTAGGATCTACTTTTCTGGAGGTGATTATCTTCAACCTAGTGATCCGGTGCACGAAATTCATGCACATTAAAAGGGGATTAATTAGAGGAAACAATTTAATATTGCTATTTGCCCTTTCTCTATAATAGAAGTGTCAGAGATGAAAGAAAATTAGTAAAATGTATATAAAAACCTTCCTCCTGTCAGAGTCTGGGGCACACCACAGGACCCAGAGTCAAGTCCCCCCCCATCCACATGCACCTCAAAATCGTGTGAGACCCAGACCTGGCCACCACCTCCACTCCCCCAATTGGGCTAGATCTAGTCCCGGCCAGTCCCACCCTTGTCAAGCCCTGCTAGGCAGGGGGCGGGCATAGCTTCAGGTCCCTTGGCCCGGTGCCAGGATAGGGGACACAGCCTGAGATTACCTGTAAAGTCCCACTGGGTGTTGGGCACTGTCTGAGGTCCCCCAGCCTGGTGCTGGGGCAGGAGGAGCAGCCTGAGGTCCCCTAGCCCAGCACCAGCATGGGAAGCACACCTTGAGGTCCCCCATCAAGCCCCACCAGGTGGGGTGTGTGGCCTGAGGTCCCCTGTCAAGCCCTGCTGAGTGGAGAGCATGGCCCGAGTTCACCTGTCAAGCTCCACTGGGTAGGGGGCATGTCCTGAGGTCCCCTGGCCTGGTGCTGGGGTTGGGGGAGCAGCCTGAGGTCTCCTGTTAAGTTCCATGGGGGCAGGGTAGGGCCTAGCCTCAGGTTCCTGCTGATTGCTCATTAAGGCTCCTTATGGGACCTTGGCCTCAGCTGTGGGTGCAGCCATCTTTACGATGGAGTGATGGTCAATTTGCATATTCCCTCTTTATTATATAGGATAAGGCCCTTACTTAGATAGTCTTCTTTTCAAATCTGATCTGATTTGTGTTGCGAAGACCCTGTAGACCCGTTTTCCATGGTTCCTTGTACCTTGTTTGAGGTTGTACATGTTGTCTGGATTTTGGGAAAGCTACCTTTATTATTTCTGCTCTCTCACAACAGTGTTTATCACTGACAAGATCTCCAGCTTCTGCTTTCAAGTGGCGTTACAGATCTTACACCGCAAACTGCCCCAGTTGTGTGCCCACCTCTGTAATGCTGTGATTGACTATCTGAGTAATCGCAATTTCTCAGCAGATGGCAGGTAGGTCAGGCCTCAGGATTGATTGGGATTGATGGGGTGTGTATAATAAGTGAGGTGTGTAGGTGTTTTGGATGGAGTGGAGTTAAACTACCTTCTCCTTGTCTCCAGCCCCCTACTGCTGTTTCTGCGGGATCAGACGAGCTCCAGACTTCTGGAGCAGGTGCTGCTGGTGTTGGAGCCCCCAAGGCTCCAGAGCCTTTTTGAGGATCATTTCCAAGGGCAGCTGCAGGCCATGGCTGCGCATCCCATCGCCAACTTCCCTTTGCAGCGTTTACTAGATGCTGTCACTACCCCTGAGCTCGTGAGTCCCTGGGAACTTGGCTGGGTCTGTTTCTTTACGCTGTTGCTTCTACTAGTTCTTTTTCATTGGGCCTTATTTTATGGTATGCCTATCTCTGACTGTGTGCTGGCTGTTCTTCTTTAAAAGTTATTCCTGGAGGTTTCCTAGAGCATAGGGTGAAGGTATCTACTTCCCAGAAAGGGTTTGCTTTGGCTTTTTTCAAAAGTCAATACCAACAGGAGACTGGCTTAATCTAAGTTAAGCAGCTTGAGGTTCCACCCAGACTGGGTACTTGGCTACAAATCCAAATGAGCACTGGAGCTGCCACAGCTTCTCTTTTCCTTTGCTGCTTAGTGCCAGGGCATGTTTCCTCTGGAACTCATGGGTTGGGAGTTAGAGTGGAAGGTTTGATTTTCATTCTCCTTTACCCTGACAGTATGGTAGTTTAACGTCCTCTCTCCAGGTGAGGCAGCTCCTTTAAGATTACACTCTTGTTCTGAACCTTTCTTATCCAGCACAACCGAAGTCCTGACATTGGCAATGCTTTTTTTTTTTTTTTTTTTATCTTACCTAGCATTTTTAGTTGTTTTTGGCAGAAAGATTTCTCTGAATAACTTAGTCCACAGTTACCAGAATGCCAAAATTCTTTACCTCATGTCTCCCCACAGCTGTCCCACATATTTGAGGAGCTGAGTCCTGCCCTGGAAGCTGTGCTGGCACAGGGTCACACAGGGGTAGTCATTGCCCTGGTGGGAGCCTGCCGCAGAGTTGGGACCCACCAAGCCCAGGTTCTGCAGCTGTTGTTAGAGGTGAGTGGGTGTTACTTGCAACCCATTTATGCCCTTGGTTCAAATTCTATCTCTTAAGACTTATCGAATCTTTAGTCATTGTATCTCTGGCCCCAAGATATTCAATGCTCAGGGAGTTCATAAGATAACAAGGGGAAATGAGGCCAAATCCATCTCATAGCCTTAGAATGAAAATTGTCTCCCAGCTGAAACCGGTTTGGCTCAGTGGATAGAGCGTCGGCCTGCAGACTGAAAGGTCCCGGGTTCGATTCCGGTCAAGGGTATGTACCTCGGTTGGAGGCACATCCCCAGTAGGGGGCGTGCAAGAGGCAGCTGATGGATGACTCTCTCATTGATGTTTCTGACTTTCTACTCTGTATCTTTCTCCTTTCCTCTCTGTAAAAAATCAATAAAATATATTAAAAAGAAAAAAGAAAAAGAAAATTTTCTCCCAGAACAAAGAGAGAAGTTTATTTAAGGAATAAATATTTATTGACCCCCGTTACATGTATAGAGGCTGGAGATACAGCAGGGCAGACGAGATCCTGTCCTCATGCAGCTTAGATGCTTGTGAAGTTAGGCATTCTCACCACTCTTGAATGTTTTCCCTTGTCTAGAAATTCAGGGTTAAAGTCAGTTCTCATATTCAGTATGTTTTGTTTTCTCATCTAGGCATTCCACTGTGCAGAGCCCTCTTCCCGGCAAGTGGCCTGTGTGCCTCTCTTTGCCACTTTGATGGCTTATGAGGTGTACTATGGATTGGTGGAGGAGGAGGGGGCAGTGCCTGTGGACCACCAGGTGAGGTAGGGGAAAGACCAAGCCAGTGCCTGATTGGGGACCAGGTCTCCCTGGACTTAGGGAGCCTCTCACTATGGAGATGAAGGTGGTGAGAGCTCTGGCTTCATCCAAGTGGAGGTGGCATTTTGGTGGCTGCCTCCTGATTTCCTATCCCTATTCTCAGGTTGAAATGGGCACAGCCAAGGCCCTGGGGGAAGTGACAGTCCTCGGATCTCTACTGCTCCAGCATCTGCTGCACTTCTCCACTCCTGGCCTTATTCTTCGAAGTCTGGGTGCCTTGACAGGACCACAGTTTCTGACTCTGGCCCAAAGCCCTGCTGGTTCCCATGTCCTTGATGCCATCCTGACCAGCCCTTCTGTGACGCGCAAGCAGCGCCGCCGTGTGCTCAAAATCCTAAAGGTTAGACTCTGGCTTCTGCTTTGATTCCTCTGCCATTACCCATTTAGAGAACGTGAGCTTCCCCCGACTGTCTTTCCTAGACTCTTTTGACTCAGTCTTTAAATGGAAACTCCACTCCCTCCTGCCCTCCCAGTATATTTTTAAGAACTGCCCTAGGGGAACCTACCTTGTCTGTCTCAATGCAGGGACAGTATGTGGCTCTGGCTTGCAGTCGACATGGCAGCCGTGTGTTAGATGCCATCTGGAATGGAGCAGCCTTGGGGGCCCGGAAGGAAATTGCTGCTGAGCTGGGTGAGTACCAGCAGGTCTCTCAGACCTTTCCAAACTTCCCTTTCCTTACTCCAAATGGCTGGGTGGCTGGGTAGCTGGGTGGTTGGGGGATGGATTTAAATTCAGCAGAGACTTCAGTTCCAAAGGGTGATTTGGCCGTGGTGCTTAGCAGTCTGCTCTCCCCTTCCCTCTGTTGATTGTGTAGTCCTATGTTCTTACCCTCCTCCCAATTTGTTCTTTGGAGAGTGAGGGGTTAACTTTATCCCAAAGCAGATCCAGGGACCAGGTAGAATGGAGAGACCTTCACCCCAAGTAGAGTCTCTTCAAGTATAGGTGGTGACTGCATGCTGATACTGAACATGATGGTTCCCTTTGCAGGAGAGCGGAACCAAGAGCTGATAAAAGACCCTTTTGGCCACCATGTGGCTCGAAATGTGGCCCTGACTACCTTCCTGAAGCGCCGAGAAGCTTGGGAACAGCAACAGGGGGCAGTGGCCAAGCGGAGGCGGGTTTTGAACTCAATTCTTGAAGACTGAGGCCTTCAGATCTGGGACTGGGTGTTGATGGGGGAGGAGGAACGGGAGTATCTATACTCCCCTTACTAATTTAAATCAAAGTCATTGAAGTCAAAAAAGTGTTATTGATAAACATTTTTATATTTGTATTGGAAATGTCTTTGTTATTCTTGGGGGGAAGGGTATGAAGAAATAAGAGATCTCAAGGTAAAGTCCAAGAGGGCTGTCTTCAGCGTGCTGGGAGCTCAGGGAGAGGCGCTGTAGGAACTCTAGAGGCAGCAGCAACCAGTGCTATCAAGATGCCTGGGGCAAGGTTGGGCCTTTCAGGGTAGGTGGGAGGCTGAGAGGATGGCTAAGGAGGGACAGCATTCTTCAGGAGTGGGTACAGGCTAGGGGTGTTAGGCGCTATGTTGATGGGGTCAGAGGTCAGTGGAAAACCAGGTGAGTTATCTAGTCTGCACTATCTGCAGGTCCCTAAACCGGATGTCATCACAGTCCCTACAGCCATCTCTAGGGCAGAAGCTCTGAGCCCCTTCTCAGTAGGGATGAAGGTGACCCTGCTGCTGCCACTGTGTAGCCCCTTCCACTACATGGCGAAGGGTAGAGGAAATTCCCAGCAGCATTTGGCCCAGGCCATGCAGCAGTGTGGAGGTCCATCGGAGGAACTCCCTGAAGGACAGAGACAAGAGGCAGTCAGATGGCCAGGAGGACATAGAGCTGGGGGGTGCGGCTGGGGGCTCTCCATAATTGAGAGCTACTGGGTTAGGTGAGTGCAGGAGAGGGAATTAAGGAACTGAAACTGGGGATGGGGAAGTAAAACATTTTGGTCTCTGACCTGAGTACTTTCTTTGGGCCAAGTCCTTGAATGTCACAACTCATGGAGTAGAGCCCGTAGAATGTGGCTTTGACATTCAGGCTCCCAAAGAGGTCTCGAGGGTTTTGCTTGTACACGTCAAAGGTGATGCGGGCGATGTCCTTGCTGTTCTTGGGCTTCTCCCGGCCCAGGCCATATGACAGCATCCCACTCTGAAGAACACCCCGTGAGTGCAGTGGTCCCTCACATCCACCATCAACCCCCATCAGTAGTGGGACAGACCCACCCTTGCCTGGACTGTTGGTCCACCATAAGGTGTCCTTAAAAACTCCTTACCTCTTCATCACTTCTGCCCTCACTATGGGAGAGAGAGAAAGGATTGGTGGCCTAAAGCAGCCCACCCGGTACAGGCCTCACCCTGCTGGGACTCCAGCTCTGCCCAGACTCCAGCACCATCAGGCATGTGTCATCCTCCAACAGCTGGAAGAAGTCTTCGCTCTCCACGGCAGTCCCATCCTCCTCTAGCACCAGGGTTAGCACTCCGCTCAGCAGCAGGGTCTCCAGTGCCTGCCCAGTGGCAAGAAGCAGGAGGGAAATGGCAGAGCCTTCCCTCTACAGCTGCCCAGCATCTCCTGGCTGGCCCCAGACACTGGTTGATGTCCCAACTCTACTTCCTGGTGCTTTGCCATCCCTTCAAACAGCTTCAGCTCTCTGTTCTTTCATTGGGGAACCCTCACTGGGAGCTGACCTTTTTTCCTGTTTGCTTCTGCTTTGCTCCTACCATGTTGTTATTTACCTCTGCTCCCCTCCAAGTCACTCCTGATTAGGAATTGGAAAGCTAGCTAGGCTCTCTTGAAGTCCATCCTTTGGGAGTGGGCATAAGGCATTATGCTAATGGGGCCTGATGCAATGGGATCTTATCTCCCACCTCGCTCCCCTACTCCCTACATAGAGTTCTCCAGAACCGTTTTCAGTAATAATCATCTTTTTGTCTTTACTAGTGCCAGGTACCTACGTAGCACTTTACATACATTATCCTCCTTTATTTTCTTCAACAATCCAAGGAGGTGTATTATTATTATTCCCTTTTTATAGATGAAGAAATTGACATTTTGACTTCTCCCCAACCAGAGGGTAAATAGCTTAAATCACCCTACTTAAGGAGACAGAAATTCAATTAGTGCCATTTGCCAACTACACCCAAGGACAGATGAAGTTAAGAGAATAGATTTCATTTTTGGTACAGCAACATAAAGCTGATGAATATTCTATTGAGATCTGCCCCTAAAATCTCCCCTAAACACCCAGCTTTTTAAAACCCCTTAAAAATGAACGCACCAGTGGGTGCTCTCACCCCCAGGAGTACTCAGGTGCCCCCTCCCCCACCCCCCCCCAACTTCCCCAACAGTCATGCATCTCCTAAACTCAGGGACCCCACCAGGCTTGCAACCAGTGCAGTAATGGGCAGCGGCAGCTCATTCCAGACAAACCGCCTGAACCTGTCTCCAAGGCCTCCTTTGCTCTGCCTTCTTAGTCAGCCAAAGCAGACCAGCCTAGGTTCATTTTCCCAGGCCTTTCTTGTTTCACATCCTAGCTTTAACAATTGTCCTCTAAAATTCAGAAAAGAAAGAATTTTTGACATTTTTATAGGTTTGTAGCTTCCTAAGGTTTGACAGAAGGAGGCAACAATCACCCACCTTAGGATTTGAACTTGATTTGTCACACAAATTGCCAGTCCACACTATCTTCTAAATCCTATCCCTCCAACCCTCCCTACTCCTTCACCTATCCCCAAAGAAAAGCCAGCTTCTTGGCAGAAAAACAGATTGACCAAAAAAAAAAAAAAAAAGAAAAAAAGAAAAGAAAAACAGATTGACCAAATACAGCAGAGATCATTCCCCCCTTGTTCCCCCCCCCCACACACACACACACACACCTGCTTTAGTTTTCAGAGGGAGGGGTAGCTGCATAACCTCAGTCCTTTCTGCTGGTCATTCCAAGTTCTCGCTCTTTGAGCCCCTTGGATAGGAACCCAGGGACTTGGCTCACTCACCTTGTCTAGCAGTTCCTGGCGGGTGGCAGCTGTCAGACCTTTCCGTGTGGTTCGTTTGTGATCACAGACTCGGAAAGGTCGCTGGGGTGGTGGAGCTGAGGTCCAGACCCTGCGGCCAAACTCAGAGCTCATATTGGATACTGACCTGGTAGATGGGAAAAAAGGTCAAGGAATGAGGGGTTTGCTGGGTGTAATGGGATGTTGGGGTGATGTAGCTGGAGAGTTAGAGAAGGGGGCATTTAGGTTGTTGGATTAAAGTAGCCTAGGGAGAGAGGCGGGTGGTAGAAGCTGGATAAGCCCACTGTGGAAAGTGGAGTGGGAGGGAAAGGGGTATAGATTCATGAGCTTCCAAGGGGCTTAGTGGAGATTTGTTGCGCTGCCCCTATCCCCAGTTAGAGAGTGGAGAGGAAGATCAGTAGTCACCTGAGCAGGCTACTGGGGTTCATGGCAGAGAGGTACTCCATGGTGTAGGGAAAGAGCAGAAGAATTCTGGGCTGGGTTGTTCTCAGCTGTGCTGGGCTGAAGTGGTGATGTTTTCTGTTACAGAGCTGAGACCTCAGCCCCAGTGAGGTGGAGGATGAGTCAAGTGGACTCTGCCCCCTCCTCCTCCCCCTCAGGGCTTGCAAGAAGGGCAAAGTCCCAGGGGAGGGAGAAGAGGAGGGACCTAGATGGGGTTCTGGAAGAAGGATTGAGGCCCGGAGTTGCCAGGCAGAAGCCAAGGAAGCGTTGTGTGGATGTTGACTCTGGTGGCAGCTTGTGATGTGAGGTCAATGGTAACTATGTAAGAGGGTGGCGAATTTCTAGGTATAGAAGCTACATTATGTGATTTGTGCTGTGCATACTGCCACCTACTGAAAAATCCATAAACTGCTGCATTAGAAAAGGGAGGCGGGGCTGAGGGTGAGATCATGGGTAGGGCGTGGAGAAATGGGAGGTGAGGCAGTGTGTCTGGGTGGGGCACCAGAAGAGGATGGGTCCTGATCCATGGACCACCAGGATCCTGTGGCAAGGGCCTTCTTGCTTTCCTGCACTTTCCTTCGAGGTCTAGGGGAGCAGCTGGCTCACTTCTCTGATTTAATTCTGCAGAACTGCCTGCTTCAACCACTCTGGATTTCTCACTTTTCTTCTTTGGCCACTTAATAGGCATGACGATGTGAAGGGGGAGTGTCCTCTGATGGCATCAGGACTTTAGCTTCTGGTGCTCCACGCCCCATCCCTGATTTGAGCGGCAGTTGTGCTGGACACGTTGCATGGAAGCTCAGACTCTCACTGACAATGAACTCCTCACTTGAGTGCAAGTGTCTGCTTTCCTGCCTAGAAGCCTCGTTTGGTTTGAAGCCTTGGCAGTCTGGCCTGCCCCCTGACAAGTGCAGGCTTCAAGTGTGTATAGGAGTGTCAATGCCTCCTCCTTCTCATTCAGTGGCACTTCTTAGACATTCCTGATGCCTACTGAGGGAGCTCAATAACAATCTTATTGGTTTTCCTCTTCCCTCTCTTCTCTCACTCCTGCTTCCCAAGCTGTGTTGCTATGTCTATGAGTTTGTTTGTGGCTTCCTGATTTATATCCAACATATGAGTGAAATCATATAGTTCTTGTCCTTTTCCATCTGACTTTCTTCTACTCTTCTTCTGGAAGTTTAGTTACACTTCTGTTTGATCTCTAATATCATCCCACAGGTCTCTGAAGTTTTGTTCAGTTATATTTAATGAGTATAGGATCACCTTAACTCAGACTCTGATTTGGAGGGAACCCAAAAGGAGACAGTACTGGTGTTCTGGCTCCCAAGGAACCCCCAGTTCTGGCTGCTGACTGGCACCGGCCTTTCCCCTTTCCTCAATGTTATCAATGAACCAGGTCCCCTCAAATTTCTTAATTTCCAAGTTTTGGCCTCACTTCACCCAGAGAAAGGTCAGCATGTCTCTACCACTGCGACCTTTCCCTTTTTCTTGTATCCTGGTGCAGCCTAGGAATGTGGTCTCTTCATGGTTGTGTGCGGTAACTCCTCAGCCAGGTTATATGTCCCTCACGCCTCCAAGCATCCCCCCAGGCCCCACAGGATTTAGCACCGTGCTTTATACTGAAAGCTGTCATTGACAGCCCAGTGGGAGCCCTGAGGGTGGAATGACTGGGGCAGAGCCCAAGGCAGGAGGCAAGAGGGGTAGGTAGGAAGCTGAGGAAAACGCAGGCTCAGCAGGATTAGGAGTCTAAAAACAGGGAAAGGAAAGAGCAGCAGGGAAAGTGAGTAGTTTGGGTCACCTTTTATGCTGAGTGCAGACCAAGGAGGCCAGAAAGCATAAGGCTGCAGGGTGAGGGGGGTTGGGACCAGAGCTGGGGGAGGGATCCGCACAGAAACAGGACCCAGGGTCAGGATTCCGAAGTGTCCCTACTCACCCACCTACACAACCAGGGAGCCTTATCTGCACCCCTTCACTTATCCTGTTTCTGGGAGGCAGGACCTCACATGCCTGGACGAGTTAATGATGGGAAGGAATACGGTGAGGGAGGGGCCCCAGGCAAGGCCCCACCTTAATCCTCCCCATTCTCGCCTCACCCACTGCACATCTGACAGGCACCGGACAGGAGTAGGCACCAAGCCCATAGCTGTTTGCCTTTCAGCCTCCCCAGGACTCTTGTGGACCCTCACTCTGCTAGCTCGAAGCTGGGTAAGTAGATCTGCCCAAGGGCCCTTACTCACCACCTCTCACTTTTGCCCTGAGGCATAGGGAAGGGGCTGGACAAAGAAGGGTAGAGGTGTGGAGGTGGAGGTGGAGACAGCCTGGGAGTCAGGACTGGGAGTCAGCTCAGCTGACTGAGAGCAGGGGATCTGGGTTCCAAGAGGTAGTGTTTGAATTGTGGCTGGGATCCCAGAGGAAGCCAGGGGTCCCAGACGGAAGAGAGGCAGGCGTCAGGGAAGCGAGGGGAGGCACCGTTCCTTCTCCCCGGCATCAGGGGTCACGTTGGCTTTTGCCCCAGCCCCTGAATGCGCTCCCTGGTCCTTCCCAGCCCCCTGTAGGTACCGAAGGATGACAGACTGCTACCGCCCCCCGGGGAACGAGACGCTGCTGAGCTCTCCCGCCTCGCGGGCCACAGGCACGGTCTTCCTGCTGCTGGCGGCGCTGCTAGGGCTGCCAGGCAATGGCTTCGTGGTGTGGAGCCTGGCGGGCTGGCGGCCCGCGCGGGGGCGGCCGCTGGCGGCCACGCTGGTGCTGCACCTGGCGCTGGCGGACGGCGCGGTGCTGCTGCTCACACCGCTCTTCGTGGCCTTCCTGGTGAGGCAGGCGTGGCCGCTGGGCCAGGTGGGCTGCAAGGCCGTGTACTACGTGTGCGCGCTCAGCATGTACGCCAGCGTCCTGTTCACCAGCCTGCTCAGCCTGCAGCGCTGCCTCGCCGTCACCCGCCCGTTCCTGGCGGCCCGGCTGCGCAGCCCGGCCCTGGCCCGCCGCCTGCTGCTCGCCGTCTGGCTGGCGGCCCTGCTGCTCGCCGTCCCGGCAGCCGTCTACCGCCACCTCTGGGGGGGCAGCCTGTGCCAGCTGTGCCACCCGTCGCGGACCCACGCCGCCGTGCACCTGAGCCTGGAGACGCTGACCGCCTTCGCGCTGCCCTTCGGGCTGGTGCTCGGCTGCTACAGCGTGGCGCTGGCGCGGCTGCGGGGCGCGCGCTGGGGCTCCGGCCGGCGCGGCACGCGGGTGGGCCGGCTGGTGAGCGCCATCGTGCTGGCCTTCGGCCTGCTCTGGGCCCCCTACCACGCCGTCAACATCGTGCAGGCGGTGGCCGCGCTGGCGCCGCCCGAAGGGGCCCTGGCGAAGCTGGGCGGAGCGAGCCAGGCAGCGAGGGCCGGCACCACGGCCCTGGCCTTCTTCAGCTCCAGCATCAACCCGGTGCTCTACCTCTTCACCGCCGGCGACCTGCTGCCCCGCGCCGGCCCCCGCTTCCTCACGCGGCTGTTTGAGGGCTCTGGGGAGGCCCGAGGGTGCGGCCGCTCCAGGGAAGGGACCATGGAACTCCGAGCCACCCCTCGGCTCAAAGTGGTGGGGCGGGGCTTGGGCAACGGAGACCCGGGGGGCGGGGCTGCAAAGGACAGCCAGGAATGGGACCCGTGACACTAAATCCTGCTCTTCCCCGTCCACTTCCATCACCCCTCAGAACTTAGAGACCAATCGGGAGCCTTGGGAAGACTCTGACCAGTTTGGATCTGTCGGGGCAGAATTATGTACCTGGGCAGGCCCAGGTTCCTCCAAACTGAGGGATTGCCAGGGATGATGGTTCATGCTAATGAAATTGTGCACTTGCAGGTTGGCATGTGCCCATGTGCCAGAGCTGCTAATTTGTTGCCAACAGTTATTGTGAAAGACCCTGTGCAGCCATTACACTATGGCTTAAGTGTGCTCTCCCGAGGTTCAGCATGCCTGCGTTGCACTGAAGCCACCTGGTTTCCTTGCGGGGTCAGGCCTTGACCCATCCTCCTCAGCTCAGATGCCATACAACCCTCAGGCCATACAACCACTCTGCAAATAAGGGGAGAATGAGGAAATAAAGGTATGGGTGCTTGGATGTGGGATGAGGATGAGATCCATTCTCTGAGGTCTATAAGAGCCAAGAAGGGGGTTGGGGAACTGACTGGCCCTGGAAGCTGAAAGTCAATCTGTGGGGTTTGAAAGGAGCGTTTTCCTGTCTGCCTTGTGGTTGGTGCAGTGGGGGAGGGGCCTTAGCCTCCTCTTTGAATCTAACTCCCCACAAAGGTCACCTGACTCAAAAAGAGCCCAGGAGCAGGCACTCAGTTATCCAGAGGGCATTTGGGGTTGGAGATGAGGGAGTATGAGGAAGAGTGTGGATATCTGGAGGACAGGAAGAATTTTTCAGGGAAGTACCATCTCTCCTTTCTCCTTTTTTCTCTCTCCTGACTGCTAGCTGTTCCTCATCTGTCCTCCCAAACATTTCCCAGACCCCATCTTTTGGAATTTCTTTACCTCTAGGCTTCAAAACTGTTCTGGATCCTGATACTTTTGAGTTTGGGGTGCAGGATGAGAGGCATGTGGTTACTAGGGTGACCAACTTGCGGTTTTAGCAGTGAAAGTCTTTTATCCTAGTCCCCTAAGTCCCTGGCCAACCAAGATGGTTGTTAAGTTCTGGTCAACCTGACTGTTACCCCCTGTCCTGCCTTAGTGACTGTTCATATCACCCAGGTAGATGCAGAGATAGCAAAGGAAACCCAGTCCTGAGGGTCGTGCCAGGGCCACCAAAACGGGTTGGGATTGGAGCTCTCGACTTGGGGGACAGGGATGCTTAGCGTGTCTAGACTAGGGTAGAAGAAGGAAGGTCATTGACAGAAATGGAAATGGGGAGCAGCTTGTGTCAGAGGAACCTCTGATTGACCCCAGAGCTTCTGCAGAGGCTTCTCTGTCCTCAAGCACTGGGGAGGGGGGTTCCTAACTTCCTCTGTTACATGTTTCCCGACTAACACATCCTCTGTGGTCAGAAAGCCCTTCCTCAACTCTGTGGAGGAACCTGTGTGCTGTGGTTTCAGTCCATTTCTTTTCATCATATCCTCTGCCTGACAGCTACTGGATGAACTCTGCTCTAGCTTTCTCAAAGCAGACAAAGTGGGGGCACTGCAAAGGTAAGGGACTTCATGACCACTATTACACTCTGCACATTTCCTGAGAGTGATTGGGTTGGAAAGGAAGCAGGAAGGTTCATGGTCAGATGAAAGGAAAGACTTCAGTTCTTAGCTTCTTCAGGAGAGTTCAAGAAGAGGAGAAAAGGGGAGAGTGACCTTTTCCTGGCCCTGGTTTCCCCTCTTGTCAGAACAGGCATGAAGTACTATCTCCCTCATGCCTGTTCCCTATGGTCAGCCTCTACTTCTATATGGCGGTACTGGACAGTTGGCTGTGGGGAGATAAGGAAAAAGGCAGTACTGACCTTGCCCAGTGCCCAGATTTTAAATCCAACTCATGTGTCAGGGTAGCTACATGGGCAAGCACAAGGCAAATGGTTGGGGAAGGGGAAGAAATTGGCATTCTGTGTGATTGGACTTTGGCTTCTACCAAGAGAAGGGAAAATTGATTACCCTAGAATGAAACCAATTCCTTTAAGTGAAGGGAGCAACTGGGTTGCTGGAAGAGGGACTGCTCCCTTCAACTCCACTCATGGCTTGAACGCAAGCCAAGAAAAGGTGCTGACCTCTTTAGGTCATGATGTTACAACCCAAACCTGGAACCTAACCACAGCTGTACCCTACATTTCCTATTACTCTAAAAATCTACTTATTCATACAAATGACAAATATTCTCAACATTCTGCCCTCCCAATCCGAGCCCACTTCCCCTCTCTGGCTTCCCTCCCTCCCTCCTCCTATATGACACACTTTATTATTCTGTTCAATGATCCAGTCTAGACCTGCATATGAGGCCACACCCCAGCCTACTCACTCCTGCATCCCTCGTTCTTCTCTCCCTTCCCCCTTTTGGACACTTCTCATCAAGTCCCACCCCTGAGGGTCCTCCTTCCAGCTGGCCTCTTCTGGACCGCAAAGACTATCCTCCCTCCTGGTGAAGGGAGGGGGCGGGGGTTTCAGCCCCACCCTCAGGAAGATGTATCTTCCCCCTGCCGTGTGGTACTTCCTCTCCGAGTGACTTAGCTGACAGCATCCAGACCTGGGTCCAGACCCCTGCCACTGAGACCGATCTGGGGATAGACTCCGCCACTCTGCCCCGACCCTGGGATTGGCACCAGCTTCCAACCAGTGCCCAGCAAAGCCAGTAAGTAAGGATCCAGGGAGCAGGGGATTTGGTGGAGTAGGGTGGGGTGCAGCCATGAGAGAAGGTACAGAGGAATTTCCAAAAGAGCCTGACCAGTGATAAAAAGATTTGGGAGGACTTGTTCTTCTCTCCTCTTTATGAACTCCTCCCATCCCTGTTATTCCCGGTGGGTCCTGGGCATCTCTGGGAGAGTGGGTCAGGGATTGGAGGACATCCATGGGATTGAGGGGACTAAGGACTTGGCAAGGGACAGAGGAGTTAGCCTTTTAAGGGGTGCAGCACTGAGAAGGAAATCTCCCCAGTTTGGCTCTGAATCTGAGGGTCTCCTAAGGGAAAGAGGCAGAAAGTCCAGACATGCTACTGCTGCTGTTGCTTGGTATTTTGCAATTGGGTCTGTGGGCCGGAAGGAGCCATGTGGCTCGTTTAGGCAATTCGTCTTTCTACTCGGCCAGATCCCTTAAGACAGACTAGTTGTCCGTGATAAGGACAGTATATTGTGAAGGTGCACCGATGCTGCTGATTTAGAGAAAGACTTGAATCCTCAGGCTCGGTGTGTCCAGGATTTCAGAAAACCCTTGGATCCCTCGCTCACGCACATGTCCACCTCGCCCTCCAGATCCTTGCCATGGCCACGAACACTACATCTCCTGCAGCACCCTCCTCGCTATCCTCGCTAGGTGTCATGGCTATCACCCTCCTGTCAGTGGCTCTGGCTGTGGGGCTGCCCGGCAACAGTTTTGTGGTGTGGAGCATCCTGGTAAAGATGCGAAAGCGCTCGGTCACCGCCCTGCTGGTGCTGAACTTAGCCCTGGCGGACCTGGCCGTCTTGCTCACGGCCCCCTTTTTCCTCCACTCCGTGGCCCGAGGCACCTGGGTGTTCGGAGTGACCGGCTGCCGCCTGTTCCACTATGTCTGCGGGGTCAGCATGTACGCCAGCGTCCTGCTGATCACGGCCATGAGCCTGGACCGCTCGCTGGCGGTGGCCCTCCCCTTTGTGTCCCAGAAGCTTCGCACCAAGAAGGTCGCCAGGTGGCTGCTGGCCATCATCTGGGCGGCGTCAGTCCTGCTGGCCACGCCCGTCATCGTGTACCGCACCGTGGTCCCGAAACCCCCGTACAACAGGAGCCTGTACTGCTTCCCAAGATACGACACGGAAAGACACAGAGTCTTCCACCTGCTCTTCGAGGCCGTCACCGGCTTCCTGCTGCCTTTCCTGGCCGTGGTGGCCAGCTACTCCGACATCGGGCGCAGGCTCCGGGCCCGGCGCTTCCGCCGCAGCCGCCGCACCGGCCGCCTGGTGGCGCTCATCATCATCACCTTCGCGGCCTTTTGGCTGCCCTACCACGTGGTGAACCTGGCCGAAGCGGCCCGCTCGCTGGCCGGCCACCCGGCGGGTGAGCGGCTGCTCCTGGCGCGCAGAGTGCTGATCGCGCTGGCCTTCCTGAGCAGCAGCGTGAACCCCGTGCTGTACGCGTGCACCGGAGGCGGCCTGCTGCGCTTGGCCGGCGTGGGCTTCATTGCCAAGCTGCTGGAAGGCACCGGCTCCGAGATGTCCAGTACCCGACGCGGGGGCACCCTGGGCCAGACAGGGAGGGGCGCCCCCGCCCCCACTGAGCCTGGCCCAGCCGAGAGCCTCACTGCCTCCACCAACCCTCTCGATTGAAGCAGGCCCCGAGGGGTGGTGGGGATGGAAGGGACACTTGCTTTCCTCCTGGTGGCACGCCCCCACGCTGGCCTGACCCAGTTCTGCACCCCGAGGAGAAGGTCTGTGGGTGTGGAGCGGAAGAAGAGGAAGGGGAGGGGCAAGTAAGGGCAGTCAGCTCCTGGCCAGCTTTGCAATTAAAGCCAAGTCTGAAATTGGGTTAACCCTGTGTGTGGGACATGTGTGTTATGGGGGATAGGTGTCTTTGTGGGGGTCGTTCTCGATAGTGGAGAGGCACATCCTTTAGTTTACCATGATTTTCAGTCTTGGAAGGGACACGAAGACAGATATAGAAATGACCCTCCCCCCCACCCCCCACCACCACTTGCCCCATTCGGATAAGGGTGGCTTGCAGATCACACTTAGAACAACACAGGTTTGCAGACTCCTGGAAGAGCTGGCCCGGGAAGATCACCCATGTGGACTCATCACTCCAGACTCCCATTCAGCCTACCTTCTGAGAAAAGTTAGCACCGCCTGTACCCAGACCACTAATGATAGTTATCTTTGTCAGCATGACTCCAACTTCCTGCTACTAATCTTCATCCTCTCAGTGGTAGGTATTCAAGGAGATTGCCTTCCTTCCCTCCATCTGCCAAGAAGGCCTCACTTGAGAACCAAGTCAGCAGATCTTATCTTAGGTTAGAATTCAGATGAGCATCTCACAGGGTGGGGCAGAGGGTACTCTGGTCACCCTTAGGAAATGAAGATGCCCCAAAGGGAAAGGGATGAGTCATTCTTTTCTAGAGATGACTGTTGTCTTAGAGCCCCTATTCTGACATTTTAGGAAGATGGTGGCAGCAGTGGTAGTGGTCTACTTTTTAAATCTTTCCCATAAAAAATAAACAAAAACAAAAACAAAAAAAGAGCAACTAGGAAAAAAAATTAAAAATCCGTGTGCAACATCTGCAACAAAGCCTCATGGACCCCAAAATATGAGCAGTTGGGAATGAACCATAGATGTTTCAAGACCCACATCATATCAGCAGAAGGGAGCAAGGGGGCATCTAAGGGGCCTGAGAACAGGAGAGCCCCAAGGCGCCTACAAATCCTCACTGGAAAGCATCGTGGGTCAATTTTAGAAGTTGGGAGAGACCTAATAGGTTAATTCCAAGTCCTCTTAACCCATGTTGCATACTAAGCACAGAATAAAAAGTGTCTGTTTAGTGTTGAATGAATAAAGGTCAAATGACATTTTCCCTGGAGATTCCTTCCAATATTTGTGAGTGGAGAGCAGAAAAGGACAAATCCTTGTGTTGAGTTATGTGGCTAAAATTCTTCATACTTCCAAGGTTTACAAAATACTAGAATAGGGTTGGCAGGCAGGCAGGGAAGCTGAGGCAGTTCTCTTCCCGAACTTGTGAGAAGAAACATGCCCTCCATACATTCATGCTCATGCTTGCACACACACAAACACTCATTTCAACCTGGGAAAAAGCAGTCCTGCTGAGAAGCAAGGAGGTGATCCCAGAAGCCATATCAGCAGCTTCTGGCATAAACTGGCTCCAGACATACCAGTCTCTATCGAGGATTGTTGAGGTGAAGAGTAGGGAGTGGGGCCTCAGCCTAGGGTGGCTGAGGGAGGCCCAGCTCGTGTCAAATCTGTGTTGAGGAAGTAGGTACACAGCTGCCCTTTGCCTTTGACTTTGATAACACCCCTGCTGTAGCAGGTGTAGCCTAAGGACTGCAGGGCCCGGGCTGTCTCCTCAGTCACCTGCAATTGGAGGAAGGTGAGGGAGTATAGGCTTGGCCCCAACCTTAACTGCTGCCCCCATCACGCCAATGTGGCTCCCTCACTTGGATCTTGCCCAGGACTCCTGTACTCTCCATGCGACTGGCCACATTCACTGTGTTGCCCCAGATGTCATATTGTGGTTTCTGGGCTCCGATCACTCCAGCCACTACTGGTCCATGGTTTAGCCCTGATAAGAGATAAAAATGTGGGAGATATGAGGAGGGATAGGGAAAGAAAGACCTTAAGGAACTAGGGAGAAGGGCCCTGGGGCGTTGGAAGAAAGGAGTGTGGGGCTGGAGGATTGCTTAGGGAAGGGAATGCGTGTGCCTCATAGGTTCCTGGCCCAGCAGCTTCACGCTCCATCTTAAAAGGTGAGTCTGGAGGGAGGGCCAGGACTGACCTGGAAAGCAACTTACCAAGGACATGGGGGAGAGAGAGCTTGGGAAGATGTGGAGGAGGTCTCAGACTGACCCAGCAAGGGGAGGCCCTTACCCACACGCAAGCGGAAGTTGTTGAATGAGTGCTTGTTGATAACGTCCAGCTTAGAACCAAGGGCCACTGCAAATTCCACCATGGTGCCTAGGTGGCTGCAGCTTCGCTCAGCATCCTGGCAATGGGATGGCCACCAGAATGGGCCAATGAGGGCCCAGGATTAAGGCCCATTCACGAACCCACCAATAAGAGCACAGGTGAGGGATGGTAAGTAAGGAAGGAATGCTGTACCTGCTGTGCATCCTGTCCGGAGGTGGCATTTAAACCTGTAGCTGCCATGTAGGTGCTGCCGATGGTTTTGATCTTCTCCACCCCACTGAACTTGGGCTTAGAGAGCAGCTGTATAGATGGGAGGCTGTGTCCCCATTCTCTCTTGCTTTCCCACTCCTCTCTCCCCAAAGCCCAGCCCCAGGCTAAAGGACCGGTTAGGGGTTAGGAATGGTGGCAGGAGGGAGAGATGGTAGTGAACACAGTTGCTGGAGAAGGTAGAGCTGAGGCATCAGAGGAAGAGTGGAAAGGCTAGAGAGGGCAGAAGGGGCTAATAGCCAGAAGAGCAAAGTAGAAGGATGGACTAGTAGGAAATCCTAGAACTCTGGACATGGGATCTGGGGAACCCTCAGAGTTGTCACCTCATCAAAATCAGCAATGATCTCATTGAGCAGCCGCAGACACTCTAGTCCCTCGTGGTTGATGTTGGATTCAGAGTAAAACTCCTTGAAGTCTGGGACTGAGGCGAAGAGGACACAGACACACTCATAGGACTGGTGGTAGAGGTCCTGGGAGGGTGAGAGGCTGGGGTGAGACTGTAGGCCACATTCTTTCCCTTCCTGTACTGGTGTCCCTATGCCTTCCCTCTGTGTAAGAAGGATTGGAGAGGAGGGGAAGAAGGAAAGCCAGGTTACCCTAAGGATGTGACTCAGGAGTCAAAGATTGGGTCTCATTTTAATTCCAGGAGATGCAGAGATTTGGGGTCAAGATCACCTCACAGCAATATGAAGGGAGTCACTTCTAGAACTGGGATCATGCCGATGGGAATTATCTTTATATCCTTTTTATTGCTGAAAGTTGTTAAGTGAGTTAAATCAGATTATAAAGATGTATAATTTGCAAGATCAAATAAATAAATAATAGGGAAAATAAGGCTAAGAGAAAATAAGGATAAGGTTGTAAAGATGGAATCAGATCTGAGGTTGGTTCACTATATGGGTGCCATCTTAGTCCTAGATTCTGGCTTTGAGCTTTCTAGAGCCACTGTGAACACAAAAACAGGATCAGTTACAAGATACTCAGAGTCCATAGCAGCAGAACCCAGAAGTAGAAGTATGTCTGACCTTGAGAGTAGAGAGCAGGTGGTGGGCATATAAGGCTGTGAAATAGTCCCTGAACTGTTTTTGCCAACACCCCTTGATATAGGCCAAGAGCATTTCCATAGCAAAGGATGGGGTGGTGATGCTACAAAGAAGGTGGTACAAATATGTGGGTGACCTTCTGATGGTCTGACTGTAGCAAGATATTTGAAGATCTAGAGCAGAGTCATCCAATAGAAATTTTTGTGGAGATGGAAATGTTCTGTGTATGTGTTGTTCAATATGGTGGCCATTAGCCACATGCAGCTGTTGAGCACATGAAATGAGGCCAGTGTGACTGAGGAACTGAATTTTCTCCCTCTCCTTCTCTTCCTCTCTCTTTTAAGATATATGTTTACTTACAAAAACTGAAAATTATATAGCATGCCTGAGGCCACACAGTGAGATCATGGGTAGAGAGAGAGAGAAACAGTGCCCAAGGACCTGGGCCTGGGATTCTGCTTTCATTGAGGTTAGGGGTGAGAGCCTGGGGTTTCTCAGACCCACTTTTAAAAAAAATTGTCAATTACAGTTGACATTCAATATTATTTTATAGTAGAGGCCTGGTGCATGGATTCGATCCCTCCTAACTGCCAGACATCAGTTTGTTCTCTATACCTGTGAGTCTGCTTCTGCCTTGCCATTTATTTTGTTCTTTAGATTCTACATATAAGTGAAATCATATGGTATTTGTCTTTCTCTGTCTAATTTATTTCACTTAGCATAATCTCCTCTAGGTCCATTCTATGTTGTCACATTAATTTTCCATTTAATATATTTAAATTTAAATAATCACACATGGCTAATGGCTACCATACTGTATAGTGCAGGTATAGAGAGATGGGTGGACTGTATCCTCCACACAGCTTTTATCAACACTTGACAAAGCTTCTGAAGGTATGGTGTGGTCATTGGTTGGAGAAGACAGTCTTTCTAAGAAGTTGGAATACAGAGACTCTTTGCTCACCAAGACCAGAGCCTAAGATCTTGTGAAAATGGGAGGTATCTGACAGGGATATGAAGGGGCTTGGGTGGCTGCCTGACCCACTCTGGGGGTGTCCAGAGAGGCTGGGCTAAGGGCCAAGACTTTCATTTGAAATGAGTCCCTATAGTGTCTGAGGCTCAGGAGTCAGAGGTAGGGAGTCACCTCATTGCGCCGGTTCTGGCCAATAAACTGGGGAGCCACGTGTGCAGGCAGCACATTCTCCAAGAGAAGCCGAGTCAGATTCTCCATCGTCTCTGTCTCCTCCCGCTCCTGCCTCAGCTTCTTCTTCCACAGGAAATCCAGGCGGCAATAATATTCATTCTGGGGAGAGTCACGGGGAGCCATGGGGAGACACAGCGCAGGAGAAACCCCAGATTCTGAGCATTCACCACACTCCATGATG